CGATCTTACCGAAAAAATTTCTTTGTTTTATGAAGAGTTCCAACAACAAAGATTTCAGGAAGATGATACGTTAAATAATAATTCGAGTAATAATTCAAGCAATTTTTCAAGTAGTTCTAGAGGTAAAATTATTTCAACGTATAAATATATATGCTACTTTGATGAGAGATTCATGGTAAATCAAATATTTCCGTATTATATTAGGTTCAAGACACACTTCGTTTTCTGATCCAGTTGTTCAAAAATTTAAAAATCTTTTCGACGAGACCATGCGAGAAAACGATTATTCTAAAGCCGATATGATTAACGAAGTTGTAAGCGATCTTCAAAAGGAGAAAAAGATCAAGGTTATTTCCAACAAAGCGGTGGAAAGTTATTATAATCAAACAACGAAACCCGATGCCAGGACTATAGGAGTGATTAAATCTTGGATCCCGACCACGCCAAGCTGATTACAAATGGGTTTACATACAGAATAAATATAATTAATTCCATCTAACAATTCTCTCCATAATTTTACTCTGTTATCCGCTTTTTTAGTGTTGCTACAAACAATGCGTGAACTCTCCACATATAAAAATTACAGTAATTTCCCATTGCACTTTTCTAAGGCCATAATATCGGGGGTTTTTCATATTTTCTCCTTACCTGTTCCATCATTTCTCTGTGCTTTACTTGCAAGCTTTGACGTTCAGCTGAACTTAAACAGATATATCCATTTGGCGGGTCCCCCAAACTAGCTCAAAGTAATGGCATGATTGCATCTGTAATATAGGTGCCATCACTTTGCATACTACGGACCGTACTTGTACCAAATGCCGGATTATGCCATATCTCTCTTCTAAATTTACAAATATAAATTTTTTAGCTGTGTCGATTCTAGATGCGGAAAATATATGATTATTAGTTACTTACAATACACCAAGTATCCGTTCTGTCGTTTTTAATAGTTCAACCTCATTTTCCTCCCACGATTTATGAATAATATTCCTGATATAATTGGGGGTATCCGTCTTATTAAAATTTTCCAATCCTAGAAAAAATTAATCTGGGAACCTCACACTTCCTATTTTCCTGGGGTTCCTACATAAACTCGTTTATATCGCATATTATCTTTACCAAAAAGATTTGCTTTTGTCTCGGACTTAGTTTTTAATTATATTTAGATCGTCACTAAGAACTGTACTTGCAATCGGGTCTCATTCATCTCTTTCTACGTCTTCTTTTGGATTTGTTGTATGAAATTGAAATTATGTGAAATTGAAATATTATGGAGTGGGGTGAAATTCTGATTAGCTAATTTGAATTACACATATGTGAATTGCGAATTCACATAATTTCATTTTCACGTACAACAGATCTATAGAATGTGTATAATAAAGCGGAAGAAAGAAGCAATTACCACCAAAATTATCTTACAAAGAAAAAAGTGCGTACATGAGGTAATTAATCGAATTTGGTTAATCGCACAAAAAGATTATGCATGCATTGCATTAGTTGTTGAAAGTTCTAAAAAATAATTTTTGTTCCACACAGCCTAATTAAAATGTTGTAAAACATACAGATTATCTGATTGATTATGCAGATGGATTATCAAATTTGAATTTCTTCCTTTACCAAGAAAGATTCTGTAAATAATCAGTATGTCGTATGACGTTTGATGGAGCTGTGTAATAAAAAAATTTAAATACTTATAAAAAAAGTTTAGTTTGAAGAACATGTCGTGTAACTATATAAATTATGCATACTGCTTATTTTTTTTCAGCATGTTTCTGCTTCGTGTTAACCGCTCAGGGAAGAAATAAAAGGAAGTATAACGGAAGTTATGAACTTTAATTCCTTATATTAGTGATATTTGTTTTTCCTTACTAACGAATTTAACTTATAATAAAATGTCAAGCGAATTATACGAAAAAATTTGCGAATTTCTTACCAATTCTTCATTGAAACGTATTTCTGCCGTACCAGTTGTCTATCAAGCAATAATTGAGGAACCGTGGATTGATCAGCATGTGTTAAAAGAATTAATTCAACGAGCAGTTAATAATGTATCAAGGCTTTATCATCTAGAATCACAACAATATAAAAAACTTATTAAGATTCCTCAACAGGTTGGTGGTTAATTTTTTTGTAGAGATAGAGGTATAGAAAGATGAAGGTGCAAAATTGGTACAATCAACCCTGAAGTAACGAGTATAACAGTCGAATCACCCCATTAACCGGCAAGTAAGGTGGTTATTCCCCTGGAAGCGTGGGGGGTGCTGAAACTGTAATATGCCTGTTTCTATGTAGTCGTTGATTTACCATGTAAAGTTTCCATTGGAGTGATGGCCACACGAAAATGTTAACTTTGCAGTCCTGACGGCGTGCACGCTTTTTATATGAAATTCATTGACATACACAAATGCTAACTCTAAAAAATTTGCGCCAGTTCGATATTGCTTATGAAGGTATATGTGGTCTATGCGACATGGGAGTAGTAAAAACGAACGAGGGACTGCTAAGTTCTAAAGAAATCATGAAAAATATGATGGAATTGAAGTCGAAACTTGCGGTAAGAACATTTACCGAGTTACTCAATGTGTTATAAAATTTTTACTACTCAAATCAGATCTGTTACTCATTTAATGGATGCATAATTGTCTGGTTTTATCTAGGGTCATTCTTCACATCTTTCCAATGAGTTATATAAGACCTTAAAAGACGTATCTTACCGTGATTTGACGTGGAAGGATCCCCTTGCCAGCCAGGTGATCAGCGATAATTCAAATATTGTACGAAAGCTGACTGTGGATGAATATAATAATTTTATGGTAGGTATCAGTGCAACCCTAATCAATTTTCTTTATCTATTCATAGACCATGTTGGTTATAAGATATGGCTACTTACTAAATCAGCACCATCTATACACCCATATTCGGAACATACATATTATTAGAAACCTGCATTACAAATGGTACCTCCTACTATACCAGTTGTTCAAGAAATGTGCACCAAATTTGTATCTAATTTTGTTGAACCCCGGGAATATACGATAGCGGAAGTGGCACATGATGGAACCTGGAAAGAGTCGAATGAAGTTCTTTTGGGGGTTGCAACCGGAATCCTTGATGTCTTGTAAGTATTAGAATGACAAACTTTCAGATTGCTCTTAATTAATTATTCTTTTTGCAGAAACAATTCTTGGAAGAATTCAGCATTTGCTCCTGAATTTGAGGTATCTCAAAGCGAAGGAACATATGTAATGAATATTATTGCACCTTCGATTCAAGCCGTGTTGAAAGATCTTCCTTTCGCAAAGTCTTCATACATTAGCATTGCAGAAAAGCAAAGTACTGCTAGTGCTGATAGAAAAGGCAAATTTGGAAAACGGCCGGATTTAATGTTTATATTAAAACATAAGGAATTTGCTTATGAACTCGTCTATGGTGAATTTTCGCGCTTGGTATGTACTGAGGATAAAAAAGAAAATGACAATATCAAGCTCTGGAGAGAAACCAATGATGGAATGTTTTGGGCCCATAAGAAGTATAAACCGGCTAAAGATGAATTCGGGATCATTGGATTACAAGTAGCTGGTACCAGCTTTTTCCCATTCAACCTGTAGTGAAAGTTAACAACCACTCGGCTTTGTATGTATGTATTCTAACATAAAGATACCTTTATAGGACGTACTCTGCACCTCAACGTACTCATAAAAGATAAGGCAGATGTACACCGATATTATCATCTAAAGTCGGTGGAAATTCCCATTCAGAAAACAGGAGAAACCATTGTTGCAGAATTTGTACAAACTTTATTGGTGTTACGGGTATGTTGTAACCGGATATCAACTATGTTTTCATTCTTTTATTTGCTTCTAACTAGGTTATTTCATTTCATAGAATATCCTTATGGTTAATATGTCTCTTGTATATTGTGCGCCTCTTAATAGATTGCGCAAGAAGCAAAAAAGCTCAACGATTTCTTCTCCTAGGCGATAAAATTATCATTATTTTCTACATAAAAAAACATCGGTTATTTATGGCATATGTTTTTTACTCGTAACTAACTTATTCTCATTCCATAGAACATCCTTATCGTCAATACGTTTTTTATCTCTTGCATTTTCGAATAGATCGCATAAGAATGTGGAAAAGGTTTAACGATTTTTTATCCTGGTCGATAAAATTATCATCATTTTGATTATGTGAATATTTAAATACGTTGTAAATGATTACTATTATGTAAAAATTCCTCAGTGCCTTGAATATTTCCATTTATTATAATTATGTTTCTCACCGATAATGTGCGCATATTTATCCCAGTTTTAAATATCGCAAGTCAAATAATTAGTGACGATTTAAACTTGGTGAAAGAGTTGGAAGAACCCGCGCGTCTGTCCTTCACGAGACCAGCACAGCATATGCAATTAGTTGTACCTGATGTAATCCGAAACAAGTGTACCGAGTTTGTGGAAAATTTTAGCAATGATGATTTAATGGTTTATCACTAAAGTATAGACATAACAATACTTGGAAGGAGTCGGAAGAAGATCTAGTAGGAATTGTAGAGGGCTTTGTATGTAATTCTTATCATAGAAACTATCCATTATTTTTGTGCTAACTCTTTTTCTCGTAGAGGCGATGTGTGGAAGAATCCAGCCTTTAGACCTAACTTTGTAAATATGCAGAGTGAAGGTACATATGTGACTGATGTGGTAGTTCCGCTTTTACGGTCAACATTGAAAAATCTTCCGGTCGGAAAAATCAATTTACTTAGCACGTAAGTTTGATTGAATTTATAACTAGAATAAATCTCTTAATTGTGGTATTACTAGAAGTTTGTTTCTATTTAGTGCAGAGCGACAGAGCGTGGCTAGCGCAGACAGAATGGATTAGAGGAAGCAGGGAAAACGTCCCGACGTTATGTTTATGACTACAAGTAAAGAAAAGTTATATGAACTTATGTTTGTAGAATGTTCGCGCATAATTTGTAATGATGAAAAAAAGGAGAATGACAAGGTGAAGCTATGGAGAGAAATGAATGATGGGATGGCTTACGTTCATGGAGGTTGCAAGCCCGATAAAAACGAGTTTGGGGTCGTTGGAATCCAAGTCGCTGGTAGGATGTTGCATCTAAACGTTCTCATCAAAGATACAGATGATATTAATCGTCTCTACCATTTACGTTCCGTTGAAATCCCAATGCAACCGGTTGATGAAGAGGGTGTATCACAGTTTGTGGAGGCATTATTGATTTTACGGGTATTATTTTTTTTATTTTTCCGACCCAGAATTGCATGGTATTTGATTAAATTATTTACTCAATTATATAGAATAACCTAATTGTCGACATTTCTTTGCTGATGAATGCACCAGAGGCTAAATCAGAGCGTCAAAAAAAACGAAGTTCTACAGTGTCCTCGGATCGAGAAGATAATTGATTATTAACATGAGCATCTTGTGCTATTACTATGCACTCCTTTATCAATAAAATCAACCAGATGGTCAAAATTTTCAAACAAACATTCGAAAAAACATAAGCTAAATTAATTATTACACATATCCGATCATTTTCCTCTACATGTTGAGAATATCCGGATTGAGACTATTTACCTCAGCATAATGGACACTGTTTTTGTGTAACAAGAATTTGTTATAATGACATTATGTTACACAGAGCACTTTGCCTCTGAAACTTTGCCAGCATATAGTTGTCGCCTCTTTAAGTCCAGATCAAGTGTAAGATCAAATTTATCGCACACTTTTTATAATCAAATTCTTACAAAAACTTTCACCATAACTTATGTTATGTTGATCATTTTCCATTGTACAAAAACAGTGTCCACTATGCTATTTACCTCTAAATATCTACATAACTCTCCATAATCAAATATCGCTTTCATATCTTGTGTATTTTTATTTATGATAGTTATGTGATCTTCATCAATTATATGTGTGTACTTACCCCTATTCTTAAATTGCATATACTGCTTAGGATTATCCGTAAATTTGCATTGAGTTTTTCGACTGTTATTTTTAGATTTGCGAGACATATTTGACGTATATATTAATATGGATAAACGACTTCAATTTTTTATTTCTAGATTTGCTAGACATATTAATATCTTATGTATAATGACGTATTATATCAAGTATTGAGACACATTTAAAATTTTTTTTTTCTAGCAAAGTGATCTCTGTTCCAAATTGGAACGCACGTGATTTTAATGAAAATAAAGCATGGACATCCACATAATTCTGATCGAGACAAATGGTTACATAGAACCTTACTTTATTGATATATAAAAAATGTTACCGAAATAACAACATAAAAATAAAAAAAAATCATATCGCAGTTACATACTGCAGACGTAAATAAAAAAAAATATTATCCATTAACCGTATATGCGACGATGTGATATACATTTTCAGGAGGATCCCCATTGAAAAAAACTAGAGATTAGAGCTGGTGATCGCATACGTCTTTCATCTACAGGTCCAGGATGACAAATTTGACGAATATCAAGAGGAATGTTAGATCCTAACTTATTCTGAATTGCGGTTTGGAGATCATCGACTGTTTCATTTCTGGGAATCATAATTATGAGGGAAACAATATTGGCTGAAAGTTGATTACGTGGGTTATTAAGAATAACGATACAATTGAGAGTGATATTGTTGGCCATTTTCACGTTTCCTAGATAAGTAAAAATTCATTTACAATGGATAGAGCCCTTATTGCAAATAACGCATAATGAGCATCAGAAAACAAATCACTTTACCTTATAAAAATTGCGAAAAGATAAGAAATGATATCTCACAAATCCAGTTTATTTATACGTTTCATTTGTTACCTGAAAACCTGTTAGAAGAAAAACATTAGTAATTACGTTACCTGATCATTTCTCGGATCTTTCTTCGTAAGGCAGGTCTATTAAGGTCATGGGTGTCAAAAACTAAATATATTTCGCCTTTTATGGGGAAATTAAACCTTCCAGTCTGGCGATCGCTCTTGTAAAATGTAAAATAAGCCAAAACTTGACGATCTCGGAGATGGCGGAGATCTCAACTCCCATAACATATGAATTTGATATAAGCCAGACTCTACGTAGTATTATTACTGATAAAGAACCTCATTCATTTCCTTTTTGTGTCTCGTTTGTATTTTTTTCTTATCGAAAAGCTTTATTAATATTAATACTATAATTCATAAATACGAAGAGAAAATAATTTTAGCGGTATCACAAAATAATCTCGTGGAACAATAAAGCTGGTATTCGAATATTAAAAATGTTATGTTTTAGTCTAATCCATATACATTACTTTTTTTTGTGTTTTCATACGTCATCGAGCTAATTTGGCTATTATTAGAAGTTCATAGAACGTGTAAGAGGTCAGTTGATATATTTGTGCGATCATATGCAGGTATATCAAAATTGGATTAACTACACATGGTTTAGATTCTTAAAATCATGTATATTAATATAGATTTCGATTATCTCCTCGCTTTATTGAAAAAAAATAGATTATACAGAGTGATCTGAAAAATGATTTATAATAGCTTTAATTTGAGGTATAGAAAGACGAGATATCGAATCTGCACTATATGATTTGATCAAATTAATCTTATCTACACCTATATCATTAAACAATCTATATATATTTCTCGCCTTATAGGTTTTCTTACGTAGATTGTCGGCTGTTACATTTGGAAGATGAGACGAAACTTCTTTGTACACTCTACTTCTCGCCGTTTTATCAGTAACGTGTTCATTAGCCAAAATATAACGAACTTTATTTTCATGTAACTCTCCGAACCGATACCAGGACAATATTTCTTTCTGATTTCCACGAGTCGCATCCTTTTCTGTTTGAATTGCTTTTTGGAATAATCGGGCAAGATCTAGTGCCGTTGGGTTTGTAGTTTCGGTATTGGATAAACTCTGCTCTCCGTCACTACTAATTTCAACTATTGCTCTGGTAGGTGTTGACAATTCCATTATCAGGCCTTGTATTTTTTTCTGCCTACGTGTAATTCTTGGTGATCTTTTTGAGTCGGTTTCATTAGAGCTTTCATCCGACGATTCCTCTTCCGCTGGCTCTTCAGAAGCACTTTCCACCGATGATCCTTGTGATTTTTCAGATGATTCCGCTGAGTTTATCTGCAAATTATCTCCTAATGTATTGGCCACGATAAAGGTTTGGCTGAACTCATTATTCACCTTCTCGCATATCGGACAATGTAATTGGTGGTTATCGATGCAATTATGATGGAAAATATGTTTACATGTTAATATGGTAATCGGTTCCGTAAGTTGTGAGGAAATTTCGATTTGACATACTGGGCAAATATTAGGTTCATCAGGATTAATAGATAATATATTCTCGAAGCTTTGACTTATATCAGATGGTATAGAAGATGGTATTTCGCAAAAAATAATTTTATAAGCGAATCTTCTTAATGTTTCCATAATCAATGAATTTATTAGATATAAAATTTATAGTACTCGACTTGTTTTTATAGATCAAACCTTTGGCACAGTCATACATATTCAGGCGAATGAAATGGACAATTTAATGATAAGTTTCTGAATTAATCAGCTCTCATTTTAATTAATTGATGTGTATTTTATTATGAAATTGAAAATAATTTAATGATATAGAATCTAAATTAATCAACTTTTTATCATGCCCGAATTCAGATTCCGAGATGTAACAAACGTGATTACCGTCCACAAGTGTTGACGATCGACTTTGAGTATCACTTTTGTAAATATCTCTATTATTTCAAGCGTTCTTATCTAGATCTAAGAAATGATCTAACAATCCAATCTGGACTAAAATTGAATCCAATTATTCTAGAGTATAAAGTTATTAAATCTAATAGATCTAAATCCTTAAATACGATATAATCACATATAACTCCAAATATGTCAGGTCTTAATATTCCTATTGTTATTGATAAAAAAACTAAATCACAGAAACTCATTAATAATAGACCGGGATATGATATGAAATATGTAAAGTCATATATCTACAATTATTGTGGAATTAATGATTATCAACGATACTTTGATGATCTTTATGAGACTGAAAGACAATATGATACTTTATCTGTTATTCGACCCAATGAAACTCCACAACAATGGGCTATTCGGGTCAGAGTTCCTTTACAAGAGCTAGTCTCTGAAAAGAAAAGAAGTGTATATCACGCACACTGTTTATATGGTGGATTTGGAAATTCTAAGCTAGTCAATCACGACTACTACAGACCTAGGATTCACAAAACTCGTATGGCAATTTGTCTTGATTGTTGGAAATTAATTCAAGTTAATGATGTGAAACCAAAGAAAGTATATGCTTCCGCTCTTTACAAATATATCGAAAAGATTGAACATGCAGATTTGATGAAGCATCATTGGGATCATGAATGTAATAATCCAAAATCTCAAGATGGATATGCTCGAATCATACAAACTGCTTATCGCCGATTTCAAGAGAAGGGGCCATCGAATGCACGGCTTGCATGGAATAGCTTACCGAATGATAATACTCCAGATGATAAGAAATTTCTAGGTTTAACTCGACGTAAAATAAAAAATCCTCAGACCCGAGAACAATTTAATCAATGGCGTACTAAATGGATTACAATGTATGAACAATCTAATTTAGATATTCCTTTGGATATTTATGTTAGAAAATATGAAGAATATATTATTCCATATTATTGGATAGATTCTAAAAAGGAACAATTGCGGTCTAGATTCCAAAAGCGACTTTTAGAAATAGAAGCGTAAATATATTAATTATTATAACATATCATTTATTCGATTTAATCTATTTATTAATGTATAACTTATTCATATATATTTTAAAATAAAATCACCTAAGGTATCCCTTGAGGGCTGGTACTTTAGACTTTATTTCGATACCCCTTGAGGGCTGGTATCTTTTTTTGTACCAGATTCCCATGTAAACCGAAAATAGTTACTTTATTAGATTTTGCAACATCTAGGTTTCATGTCATCAAACTAATTTGGCTAAGTTCATAGAACATCTACATCGTGCAAATATGGTCAGTTGATGTCTTGTGTGACTATATGCAGGGAACCCTAAAATTGGATTAACCGCACATGGTTTAGATTCTTAAAATCATTATTTAATGTATATTCCCATATTAATATATTACTATTACTATTAGTGTCAAAAATATTTATGGATCTCTTCAGATTTTTGCAAAGATATGGTCAGGAAATTTATTTTTTAGCACGACTCTAGCGCGACTCAAGCATAAGTGTATCATTTTTCATATAGCTATATAGAAAAAATTCTAGCGCGACTCTAGCGCGACTCTAGCTCAACTCTAGCACGACTCAACCACATTTAAATCTATATATTTTTGCATACAAACTCATTTCATACAACACAAAAATCCCCCTAGTGTAGATAGATCCAAAGGATCATTGCTTCGCAATAATGTATCGATACCTAATATATTTTTACACATCCACTCTAACTTCAAATACGGCAGGATTCGATCATCTCAAAAATATGAGTGGCAGATAGGATGTATGATATATTATATAGACAGAAATATCAGGAAAAAAAAAATAAATTATACTTCAGACACATGTCTTTATTACGCTGTTAATGATTTGATTTCTTTTTCCAGATCTAGAGGATTCATCCATCCGACTCTGATGGACATAGGATCAGAAATAGGCACAGTGGTATCGAAGACAATGAATTCGCCATCCCGTAAATAATTATTGATGATTTTAGAAGCTTTACGTGGATCTTCTTCTATGTATTGTCTTATAATTCGTGCAATATCTTCTGTGGATCCTCCGCCATTAAATAATACAAGATGCGTTGCATTCTCACGAATAATTTTTGGAACTTGAGTAAATTTATGTGCAATATAAATTGCGGAAATATTACTATGACGTCCTCTATTAAAAAATGGAATGATTCGATCCTGGATTGTCTGTGGTTCGGTACATAAATCCTCGAATATAATTACTGTGCGTCTTTTTGGATTTTTAGCGGAGCTAGCATGATGGCTAAACTGTTTCAGATCTGGAATTTTATCAGGCGTAAGTGCAGTAAAAGTAACATCTTCATAATATGGTTTTGAACGATCTGCTATTTTCTTATAGAAGTTCTGAACTAATTGATATTTGGGTTCGTTAATATAGTGTCCCACTAATATAAGATCATTACAACGTATGTGTCGTTCACCAATTTTCTTTTTTCCTTCTTTCAGATCATAGTACTTATCCCCGAGAAAAAGGTTTAGAAGCATATTAGTCTTACCAGTGTTCGATCTCCCACTTACCACAATATAAAAGGGCCACTTAGGAGCATCTATATCGTCTAAAGATATTCTCGGTGGTTTAATTTCGTCAATATGATATACATAAAAATATTTCATTCTGATTCAACTATATATCTAAGATTTTTTTTTCTTGCCAAAGTGATCGGCGTTATAAATCACAACGCGCACGTAATTTTTTTCCTAATATATATAAACATGACGCTCCTTATTGAAGCTCAAATTTACGCAGAAAAACGTGGTGGAAAAGCTCTCATTCAAACCGGTCCTACAACTTTCTTATTTTCGTGTCATAGAAACCACTTATGGGAGAGACCACTCGAAGTTATTACGAAGAGGTACGACTGGTGTCCGCTATGTCCTCATTCGAAAGGGGAGCGTACATCAAGGTATATATTCGAAGATTTGTTAGGAAAAGAATTTCTACCATCCAGACCTAAGTTCTTAGAAGGATTACATCTTGACGGTTATAATAAGGAATTGCATCTGGCGTTCGAATTTAATGGCCAACATCATTACTATCTCGTTCCAAAACATTTTCATCCCAATGGCCAGATTGATCTGGATAATCAAATCAAACGGGATCAAAAAAAGCGGAATATATGTAAGGAGCAAGGTATATGCCTCATTGAAATTCCATATGACGTAGATCTTTATAACTTTATCCGAGAAGCTTTAATCAAGAATGGCTACCTCCAAGACTGTTCCAATTGATAATGATGTACTTCGAGGACGTTCTGATCGATAATGATATTTTTGGATGAATTCGTCTGGCGGGTACTCTAAATTTTCCATATCTACGATTTGCAATTCTTCCCTCTTGAATGGTCTACGAGGATTACGTCCCATTAAATGTTTTGTGGATTCAACTGGTTCCTTTTCAAGGTAATATAAAACTGGTTGTGGAGGATTCTTTCCAACAACGATTCTTCTGATTCGATAAACACGTAAACTCCAGTATGGATCAGTTGCTCTGCGTGCATGGCCTCCTTCCAATTCTCCGGGTTTTAATAAGTATCGAACAGTAGTGCCTTTTGGTATTTGTTCTTCGTTTTCTCCAATTGACCTTTTGGGTTTTATGGAAGGTTTAGATATCACTTTCTCCAACGTCATAGCATGGGAAGGAGTCATCCCGATTAATCGTGTTTGACTGTTGTTAATATTATCAAAAATTACTTCGAGAATTTTATTCCATAATGTCGAGCGTTCTCCTGCTGGTAATTTAGATTCTATAGCATATTGAATTTTGTATATTATTTGCGCTAACCTTCGTTTTAATGCTTTAGCCAATGCTAGGCTTTCGAAACTATAAAGATCGACAACCCAGATAGTGACATTATGACGTTCCATCCCTCGCGAAAAATATCCAGAGAATTCCTTCCCGCCATCAGTCATTAACAATTTCGACCATGTAAGAGGGTTATCAGGGTCTTCATATATTTCTTTGATTGCGTTCCAAACTTCCAGACTATTCTTCGATGTTAACGAACGTCCAGCTTTATAGCGAGTTGCAACATCTATTACCACTAAAGTATAGAGGTATATTTTTTCACCATCCTGATCATCATAACCATGGGCCAGCAGATCGCACTGATGTACTTTGTTAGGAATATATATCTTCTGGAACCCTGCTTCGGCTTTGCATTTTTGCGGAAAGAGGTGTGTTTGATTAACATACTGGTGCTTTAACCATTTTGCGATATTTTGCAGGGAAAAATGATTATATCCTTCTCTCCAACAAGCCTTTTGTAACTGTTTCGCGTTTGAATAAAATCCGGGTATATGATAGTAGATTAGAGGAAGAACGATTTTTAATTCCTCATCGGCTCTGATTATAATAGTAGGTACATTCATTGCCATTATCACGAAATATTATAATAGATACTATAAACTAAGGCTAGATATTTGATATGAATTTTCAAACCGATCCTGCATACTTACAACTGCTAGGTACTAATCGAGAGTTGCGTAAAGAATTGGGTAAAGAAGTAGACATAAATCAAACAAACGAGAAAAAAATCCGCGTCCTCATAAAAGAGTTAGAACAATGCAATAGAACCATTTCATTTCAGGATACCGCAATCATTACTTACGAAAAGGAAGTACAGGAACTCAAATCTCAAGTATCTGATTTGCAAAAACGTCTTCGGTCTACTCTAAAGGATGTGAATAAAAAGGAAAATTACATTCTTGATCTAGAGCGACGGTTATCTATACTCGAAGACGAAGTGATCATATTAAAAAATAAAATTCAAAAAATTACTTCTCGGAAGTATAATAAATCTGCAGAAATCAAAGATTCACTTAATATAGTTAAGATGTCTCAGCCAGATCAGATTCAACCGCCTAGGCCCAATGAACTTAACGACCTTTTCGATACACTTCTGGATGAAAATGTACATATTGATAATTATGTTCGAAATTCCCACACTTCGGCTTGGAATCAGAGGGATATTTTAAACAAGATTATTACGGTTAATGATTCTGCACTTCGACTAAAAGAAATTGCTGACTGGGAAAATGACGAAGCGCAAACCCAGTATCAGCAATATGGTCAGATGATTGCGGGTTTGAATAATCAAGCAACTCAACTTCAAGCCCAAATTCAGGGAGATGCACAAATTATTATACAATTACAGGCTCAGCTGGATGCGGTGAATAATAATTTCAATCTTCTTAATCAGGCCCACAATTTCCAGACCGGTAATTTACAAACGTGCCAAGCTGACTTACAAACTTGGCGTAGAAAGCATGCAAAGAGAAAAGGTAAGCATATCAAGCAAAAGGCGAAACACAAAAAATGGGAAAATAAGGAAAAAACTTCTCGGCAAATAATTATAAATTTAAATCAACAAATTTTGGCGCTTAATAATAACTTACAAGATATGGCTCAGGCATCAAGACAACATATCTATCTAACTATTGCACCGAAACTTGCCCAAATTCCAGTCTATATAGGCCAGGAACCACCGGACGATTACTACAACAGGGTTGCTCAAGCAATTTCTTATGCCGATACACTTATTACTGATGCTAATGATGCCAATGCAAACACTTTTACAGATGCTCACAAGGCGGATATTTATAAATCGCAAATGGGAGGAAAATATCTACCAGTTCCTGCGCAATATCCAAATGGAACAAATATTGATACTCCAGCACGATTCAGAGATTGGATCAGGTATCAATATCAGCAATTAATGGTTGGGACTCAACAAGTTGCAATTCAGAGATTAGCGTTCGAATTATTCAAACCTACTGATAACCCAGAAACGTATGAGAATAGGATTCGACCATTTTTACTAGGAGTACCTAATAATGACGCTAATGCCTTGTCATTCCTTATGAATCATTTACCTGACGAACTTTTCACTCGAATGAAAGTTGCGCAACCTGCGGACATTGATGCATTCTTTACTAATCTCAAGAATATGTGGTTGGAGCGTAGACCTTCTTTATTTAACTATGGAAGTGCGAATAATATGAATGGAACGACATTTCAACCACCTCAGCAGATCGTTCAACAGCCTACATTCCAACCTCCTCAGCAAATCATACAACAGCCTACATTTCAACAACCTACGTTTCAACCACCTCAACAAATCGTTCAACAACCTATGTTCCAACCTCCTCAGCAAATTGTTCAGCAACCGAAATCTCAACCACATCAACGAATTACAAATCCTCCAATATATGAATATCAAAATTTCCGTCCAAAAACTGAGAAAGCAAAATACTATGAAGAGTTAAAAAATTACGTGGAATTGGGTCTTGAGACTGAGGATCATAGAGTTTTCGAACCAATGGAAATTGATTATGCAATAGTCAATATTGCTAATAAATTAGATCAACTTGAAGGATTGCCCAGCTCCCCGAATCTGACAATAAATATGGTCAGAACTCCTAGAGTAAATACTAGACCACCCTCACGAAAATGCGAAATTTGTAAAAAGCTAGGCCATACTTACCGCAGTTGTCCCATAATTAAGAATATGATGGTTGATAATTCTAGAAAAAGAACCGGTCGTGTGAATTTTGCTGATGGATTCCAACAAAGCCACTCTGATACAGAAGAATTTCCTGATGAATCTGCTATTTCTGATCAAGAAGGCAATGATGAAATTGATGATGATGTACCTGATGAGGAATCCAATGTTAATGTATCCAGAATTAAAAAAAAATAGATCAACCTAGAGTACTCATTAAGAAAACATCCGATAAACAATCCTGATCCAAAGACAAGAAAGATGCATATTTTTCAGAGGGTAAGGAGAATCGAATCCCTCTTCAAGGATCGCAAAATTCCACTTCGACTTTACTAGAGAGACGAATTCGTGAGATAATTCAAAGCGAGCTTGTAAATTCCACTTTATTAGAGGAGGCTATAAGTAAAATCTTACGAAATTTTCAGAAATCTAGTACCGCAAATCATACTTCCCAACAAAGCAAAGATACCGAGGATGAAGAAATTATCAAAGATATGGAAATTAACTTTGTCAAGGATAAAGATGCAATAGATGTTCCAACTGTGAGGGGTAAAATCAATCGTTTAGTGCTTTCTGCCATTACAGTCGATCCCGGCGCTAATACTTTACTTATGTCTAAGGACATTGCTGAACGCTTGGGTTTAAAAATCGATAAAAGTGCGGTGTTTTATTTCAAGGGGGCGGCCACTGTCCTAACCAAATCTATTGGAATGGTTTATAACGTACCATTAACCCTAGCTCCTGGTTGTGTATTTCATTTAGATTTTGCAGTCATTGAATATGACAAGTCTATGGTTATATTGAGTAATCCCTTCCTTGAAAAACATGAATGTATAATGAATTGGCCTAAATCCGAAATGAAGCTTCATTGCAATGGAAAAGATTTTTACATTCCAGTTACTATGCATAAAGTCGAAAATAAGATTGAGGTTCACTGTGTCAATTCAATTCCATCTATTTCTGAAGATACAGAGTTAAAAAAAAAATGCGTGAATTGCGAGGAGTTAGAAAAATTGCTATATGAGGTACTCAACTCCAGGTTAAAATTAATTGAACTCAATAAAAAATTGCGACTTCATAGAAATAAACCTGAAGACTTTTATAAGAAGGTTGTCAATACTGATATAGAAAAGGCGAAGATAGATTAGTTGAGATTTAAAAATCTTTCAGACTCGCGTTTGGCTTCTTCTGCTTCTTCTGCTTCTCTGCGTCCACGTTCGATTAAAGTATACATGTCATCTTTTCCTCCTACTTTTTTTGTCAGTTTATTGACCGTGTCAACCCCATTGATAACATTAGGTAAGTCAGAAATTCGAACAGATTTAGATCTCAGTTTTCTATTTTTAACCCGCTTATCAGAAGTAACATTAGAATCTAGATGTAGGTTCGAAGAACCATGATTCAAAGAAGAGCGGAGCTCGAATCCCGATTCATCCCCTAAAGGCTTGCTCTGCAATAAAATATCTTTGTTAATTTGATGTGTTTCAAACGCTGAAGTCTGCCCATTAGAATTTTCAGCTATATTAGCTTGGTCAATATTTGGTAAATGTGATTCAGGTATAGATAAATCCTGATTTAGGGGTGCTATTGAATCTGATATAGGCTGATACCATTCTATCATACTAACTTCTTGTCCTCTCCAAATTCTATAAAAACGGTCATTCGTCATAGGATATTTTTTTCTCAATTCCTTCAAAACTTCAGTTTTGGGTTTTGCATCACGATATTGTATAATAAATTTATAATCTTCTGGTGATAATGGAACCGCATCAGATCGCATACGTTTAACCATGTTAATATTTTTTATAGTATACATACTATCCATAATATTATTTTTAAAAAAATATTTATACTACACATAGTATCCATAATTAGTATGCATAATACACATAGTATTTATAATATGGATAACTAGTACAGGTAGTATGTATAGTACACATAGTACATAAAGTATGTATAGTACACATAGTACATAAAGTATGTATAGTACACATAGTACATAAAGTATGTATACTACATTTTCTTGCGCGATTTATCTGTAATTTTTTATTATATATATTTATTGCTAATGTACATAGATGGGAGAACGAAGCCTTGAGAAAGAAATGCATCGTATCCTACAATCCTCTTCTAAATTGCGTGAATATAATAGTATGTTGCGGGATAAATGTATAAAACAAGATGAGGATTTTGATCAAGAAAGAAATGGATGGGATCGGGATAGAAAAAAGTGGAGTAAAAAACTAGGAGGGGTTGTTGCCGAGAATCAAAACCTGCAGTTTGAAAATGCTAGTAAAGCTATTTCTCTTGCGGAATCCAAGGCTGAGAATGCTACAAAATCCAAGAAAATCGAATCACTCGAGTCTGTGATCGATATATTGAAAAGTAAGTTGTCTTCAGCCCAGAAAGATGTGATTTCGATTCAAAACGACTCACTAAAAAAAGATTCCGAGATATTATCCCTCAAATCCAAAATAGCTGAATTAGAAAATATAAAGAGCGAATTGGAATCGAAGGTCAATGAACTTGAGTGTCTGAAATCGGAGGCTATATCAAAACCCATAGTTGGTGGGGATGACGAAAAAAATATGACCAAGCCTGATGATATATCTGCAATTAGTGAACCTAGCAAAAACATTAGTCAATATTTTCTACATGGAAAAAATATGGATCAAGCTGGAAAAATCGATACTATATGTCTTGACACTAGCTCCGCTATTATACCAGATCACACTGATGATAAAAGTACTTCTATACCTGAGGAATCAGTAATTCGAGGCTCACCTCCAAGTGTAGATACTGAGATTATTCCCAAGGTAAGTGATAAAATTGATATTAGCAAAACTAACAACAATATACTCCAAGAAATACCGAATACCCCCTCTTTGATTGAATCGAATACCCAGATGGGACCTGGTCCCGGGATAGGAGCAATCCCTATTGTGGCATATATTTTTCTTACTCTATTAATTATTGCGGTTATGTGGTTTGTAAGACGCACATGGGGATTTGGGAGGAAAAGTGATCGGTTACGGGATATGTGGATTGGACATTAGAAGTTATCTATTTAAACTTCGATTCTGGATGTTCTATATAAGATAACTATTAGTTTTTTTTCGAACTTGAGAGAAAAAAGAAAAAAGAGCGCGAGAGTATGGATGAGGTCACTTTCTTGGAATATAAACGAAACTTTGAGGCTAAAATGAAAGTTCCTACTACTCCGCATAAAAAAGAACTGAAAAATAAATCTTTAGCTTTCATTGAATATGCGTAATTATTGTACAATTTAATTAAGTAGTATGTATACCTCTGACAGAAAGTATATTGCTACATTTAACTAACTATTCACCTCAGGTAAGACCATTTTTGTCACCTCTTACAATAAATGCTGGAACAAATTCAAATCGAAAATTAATTCAGATCATAGGATAGATAACTATGACCATTTTTGTACCACATGATTTTAGTACTTTATGTCAATTCAGTCATATACAAAAGTTATCAAAAATGTAATACGCAAAAGTTATCAAAAATGTGATCTAATTTTTTGACACGATATAAAAGTACTCGAAGACAGTAACTATATGAGAAAGAGTTTTAGAATCGAAAAATATAGCAAGCTTTCGGTAATACGCAAAAGTTATCAAAAAAATAATATACAAAAGCGATCAAATTTTTTAACGTAAAGCAAAGTACTTGAGCACAATTATATCAAAAATGTAATATGCAAAAGTTATCAAAAATGTAATACGCAAAAGTTATCAAAAATATAATCCAATTTTTTAACATAAAGCAAAGTATTCGAAATCATTAATTATATGAGAAAGAGTTCTAGAATCGAAAAATATAGCAAACTTTTGGTAATACCCAAAGGTAGAATAATATGAGGAAAGAGGTAAGAAAAAATTGTGCTTTTACGTATTACCAAGTAATGATAACAATTCGGCACTACGTGCCTCATCCTCGGGTTACCAAATAGGATAACGATTCGGCACTACGTGCCTCATTCTAAGATAACATA